CGTGTCCAACCAGTTTAAGGGGACTGATGATGATCGTTCTCTGAATTAATGACTTAATAAAATTGATAGTGATCTTTCTAGCAAAAGATGAGGATTTCTGCCCATCTCCTTCCATCAAATTTATACAAATAGGGAAAGATGAATGAAAAAAGCGTACTAGAATGGAAAAATAATGGATTTGAGAAATAATAGTTTCGATGTAGGAAAAACAAACTGAAAAAATGGTACGAAAAAGGGAGTTCTTTTGTAATGCAAAGTAGTAAATGTGACCTAGTGCGCGCATTGTTTTGAAACAATCGAAGAGCGATAGAGGCAAGAGCGGATCTTCTTGATGTGGTCGGTAAGTATCGACAGCAGAGGTGTTTACACCGTCGCATCGGCCGAGAGCTGACTGGGGAGTGGCTTGCTATTCCAAGTAGAATAAACACATGGCTGTTTTCTTTGTTCCGGCAAACTAAACAACCATCCAGGAATCCAAACAGGCTGGCCAGTCGTCCCAAATTCAATTTAGTCTTTGCATGCGGCTATATCACAAAACGTCAACATCGCATACTCATCGCAAAACTACCGTACCCGAGGGTAATACAATTATATTAAATACCATAGACCATCTGACTTCTCTATTAACTTTACTCAAGCTAAATCTTATTGTTAATGCTTCATATTGTATCTGTTCAATGCGATATCGACTTCTTACACAGAGTGTTCAGTGGAATACTCTCAAGCAATTTTTGCTAGCGCTAAATTAAACGAGAAATCTAATAATTATTCACCAGGAATCAACATAATCCTTCAGTAGCGCATTTGTCTTAAAGGCGACTCGACCTACGCTATCCTTTGTTTTGTATCTGTACTGCTCCTTCCTTCCTGAATGATCTAACTTCCTAGATTCCGAATATCAGCAATTTCTTCTAATTTCCTGATATCTTTATCTTCCCTTGCATACCAATACTTTTATATTACTTTGTGTTGGATAAACCTTTTGCCTTTCTGTATATAATCTTGAAGTACAAAACTGCGTCTTTTATTAAATGATGCTGAACAGACGAATTAAAAACAGAAAGGGGTCAAAAATGCAACGTGCTCAAAAGTGTATCTATATTTGCTTGCGTTCTATTCAACGTGGATTAAAGAAGGGAGAAAAACGTGAAGGGATTTTTGTCGAAGGGACTTTTATAAAATGTACCGCGTAATTGTTTTAGTAGACGTCGAGTGCTTTTAAATTACAGCTCTATTTTTCTTTCCTATTTCGATACTCCTCACATCTTGAGAGAGAACTCATTTTCAGGCACGAATTATCCTCCTCCTTATTTACGACTAACGACTCGCGTTACGTACCCCATCCTATCAATCTTGGCATTAAAACTCACTAGGATAAAAGAGCAAATGAACCGATATAAGCAAATTTTAAAAGAGGTACAATTTACGACCAAAAATGCCGCTCTTTCTGAGACCCCTTCGAACGACTTAATAAATTACTAGAACAATAGAACCATTGTATTTTTAACTAGGTACGTAGGAACCGAAATATGTAAAAATTAAATTATTTTTTCTTTTTAAATTGTTTACGGAGATGGTGGTGGTGTAGGCTGGTGCTGAATTATTTTTCAAAACTTTTGAAAGTATTATTAGCAAGCCGTTGCTTTTAATTAGTCAGATTGCAAGTTGTTATTAAACCGTACATTAGCATAATTAACCAATAGAAATGTATTATTCAAGTTCAATAAAAACAGTTCAAAAGAAAAGGCTGCCAACTGCTCGTTCTCCGTACATGAATATTAAGAAACCGAAATGGGGCGAACGGGATCGATCGGGACAGTGTCCTTTCTAATCAAGGCTGTGAGAGAGAGGGTTTTCCCCCGCGTCCGTTCGGTTAATACGGTCGGATTTTTCATCTTAATTGAAAGAGTTTGGGCCAGATGTCTCCAGTACAAAGTAAAACAGTCGCAATCAGTGGCAGTTCGTCGTTACGCCTCAGTGTTATTGAAAAATTACCGCCATTTGTACATACATATATATTCTTACTTAGCAACACTCCAACTTTTCGCGTGATTATTAATTCATAATTTTTTACCACGTGAATAAATTCTTAGCTAATACTTTACACAGATGTGTAACATATTTTCTGTTATATGTACGAAAATATTGGACATTGTTTTATGAAACATCACAAGATAAATTTTAAGCGTTAGATGAAATGTTAGTATTTGCTTCTGCCTCTTAATGAAAACGTACAGAATTAATTATTTAAGTATTTGTTAAGGTATACTTCAGGAATTACACTATTAAATGACAATAAAATATGATATCTAATTAATTAATGAGACATATATTCAAAACTTAATTTGGCAAAGTTGTTAAACAGCAGTAAAGAAATATGAAACATCAGATGAAAAATAAGTTTCACCATTTTTTAATCATGCACTTTGAAAATGGTAAAGTACTTCTATTTCATTGCTACTTTTTAACAGTGAAGTTCATAAAAATTAGACTAACTCCATAAAATTGTTAGAGCTACTTTTTTAACACCCTGCACAACGAGATAGAACCCTAGGAATTGCATTTGTTCAGAGTAGGCACTTGTGTTGTGCATTATCGAATGAAAGTGCAATTCTAAAAATATGTAGTTACTGTATGTGGTAATTCTTGACGTCTTCTCAAAAAAAAAAAATTAATGATTACCTACTATTCGGTAACGGTTAAAAGTTAAAATTAGTGAGTGTTCTTCTCATTTGTTTTGAAATGGTGTTAAAAGAAACAAGCATGTATTAAAAGAAAATTTATTCACAGACGCAAACAAATGCTTACATCAGCACGTCAGGGTCGATACTGTAGGAGCAATATTAATTTCTTTCCTTTATTTTTCGTAGATTGAGGTATTGACATTAAACATAAAGAATAGAAAAAAATAGAATGAAAGAAGTAAGCACTTGTTAGTTTAAATGTTATGGATAATATCATATGGAAATGGGGGTGTTGCTCTTTTACAGTGCCTGTACTACTACCCTTCACGATATTTCCTGATTTTTATTTTATCTTCCTTCAGTAGGACTATTTTATATCATCATCATAAGGTCATCAGTTCTAAGACTGGTTGGACACGCACCTCCACCTTTTTCTATCCTGAGCTAATCTTCGCATTTACCTAAAACTAAAGCAACTCGCATCCTTAACTATTTGCGAACAGTAATTTAATCTAGGTCTACCTCTACTCCTCTTAACTCTCGTTTCTGCCTCTGACTAGACCTTTACGCCTGAGAAAGTGTCCTACCAACCTATCTCGCCTATTTCTTATTGACTTCCATACAGTCCTCTGTTCTCCTATTCTTTTTAATACCTCTTCGTTTCTAATCTTCTCTATCTACGATTTCCTCATCATTTGCTTCTATTAAATAGTAAACCGCTACTTTTTAATCTATACATCGAAGACGCGATCAATGTCATTACACTACAACAGTAGGGATAGATATACAGGGGCAAAAGATTAGTATGCTTAGATTTGCAGATGATATAGCAGTATTAGCATCTAGCAAGGAGGACCTAGAGATAGTTCTAAATAAAATAGAAGCGGTACTGACAAAACAGTACTGTATGAAAATAAACAAAAGTAAAACAAAAATACTGGTATGCAAGGGAAGAAAAAGTAGGGAAAGAGCGAATGTAAACAAAGGAGACGAAAAATTAGAAGAAGTGGCTGATTTTAGATATGTAGGAAGTCAGATAAGTCAGGACGGAAGGAGTAGTAGGGATATAAAGCAGAGGATAGCGCAGGGTCGTGTCGCCTTTAATAAAAAGAAGCCACTTCTATGCTCGCGAACGGTTAATTTAGAAATTCGAAAAAGGTTGTTAAAGGTGTATGTTTGGAGTACAGCCTTGGACGGGTGCGAAACATGGACAGCGGGCGCGGCGGAAAAGAAAAGGTTAGAAGCCTTCGAAATATGGTGTTATAGGCGAATGATGAGGATAACGTGGGTAGAATAGGTTAGAAATGAAGAGGTATTAGAAAGAATAGGAGAGCAGAGGACTCTATGGAAGTCAATAAAAAATAGGCGAGATAAGTTGGTAGGACACCTTCTCAGGCATGAAGGTCTAGTCAGAGACATATTAGAGGCAGAAGCAGGAGTTAGAAGGGGTAGAGGTAGATGTAGATTAGATTACTCTTCGCAAATAGTCAAGGATGTGGGTTGTTCTAGTTTTAGGGAAATGCGAAGTTTAGCTCAGGATAGGAAAGAATGGAGGTAGGTGTCCAACCAGTCTTAGGACTGACGACCTTATGATGATGATGAAATAGTAAATTAAATTTTTTTATAAAAAGTATCCCATCCTTTCCCAGTCTTCCCAACGTGTGTATGTATATTGTATGTAATAACAAGTTTGTATACGTAGTAAGTATAAACGTCAGCTACTGTAAAAGTTTGCATTTTACAGGCTGTGCAAAGAATGATCAACGTCTAATTGCAAAAAGAGGGGAGCTGCCAAGCTCTGGATTTCCGCTTCTATAATTTAAGTGAGCTTTCTGCTTGATAGATGTGTTCGATAAAATTTTTCGTACTTCGAAATTAAGATATTTGCGCCGTATAATTAGAAATGAAGCTAATTTCGCATTCTTTGTTTTCGCCTCGCACTTTAATTAAGCAGTTTAACAAATGCCAGGTGTCGTCTGTTCATTTGGCACCTTCACTTCTTTGCGTCAAAATTAAAAAGTGGTTTTAAATACAATTTAACGCGAAAACTGTGGGATTCTATCGGCTTTCCTCTCCAGAGTTGTTCGCTAATTTCGACTGAAAATGAGAACTCTGTTTCTCCAAACTGCCTCCACTTTATTTAATATCTTCCTGCTTTCACGAGGAAAAAATGCTTTCCAATTCCTGGTGACCTGTTCTGTTTGTAATTAACTGCCGTTTTTCGTTCATCCGTTTAAAGAATCCTCAATAATTTTGACTTTATAGATATCTACCTGCTATAAAATCGAAAATGGTATTCAATCAATATTGACTTACCTGCTCTACGTCTTCCGGTGGCTCTACACTCCCTGTAGGCGTTGTGGCCGCTGAAGGCCTCTGCGATGTTGATAAATTGATTGCAACATCTGCATCTACCTCTTGCTCCATAATGCCATCGTCCTGAAACACAAACATCATACTAACCATTTTTTTTTTTAATGCTTCGGTATTTTATTCGTATGATTGCACCTTTGATGATACGCAGAACAGTATAATAAAAAGTTAAACTCTTCTTTTTCGAGATAAACGGATTTGTATAAGAAAATAAGTCGATCCATACAAAATAGTGGGTAATAATGTGAATCATAAAATGTTAAAAATGGTCAGCATAACAAAATATCCTCCCCATTTCCATTGGTCGGTTGAAGGCAACGAGTAAATGGCCTGTAGAAGATAACTTAGGCCTATTATCCAGATTATCCTCTAAATAGAATAAATGACCAGTGGGGTTGACTAAATCACATCCACGTCTGCACCTTATCTGTTTCCTTTTTATCTTCGCAGTTTTGGATTTTAAGAAAATCCGACTTGATAGACACAGCCACTCAAGAGTTATAGATGGTCAAACAAGTTTATTGTACGGACCTTAGATTATCAGTTGAAAACACTCTCAAGTATTTTTCGCAACGAAACGAACGACATGGACTCGTAAAACGGCAACGGGCTTAGACGCTTTCCACAGAATTTATCCTAAATGGACGAGTGTCCAGAGACCGATTAAATCGACCGGAGGTGTGTGGATTTCCCATATCGTCGCTCTTCTCACTCCTCTCATGCATTTACATAATACTACCAACTTTTTTCCACCAATTTTTCACGGTGTTATTAAGTATCAAACATTCAATCTTCTATAAAACGAAAACTGCTCATCTAATAACTACCCATACGTACAACTGAAAAATAACCTGCGAGTTATTATTAGTACTAGTAATTACAGGTTAGGTGCATATCTTCAAAATATCTCACTATCTTTTTGAGAAAGTCTCAAATAATTTCAGAAATGAGCATTTTTTCAGCTGGATATTTGAAATTGTTGATTTGGACCTAACCTAACCTGTGAGTTATTATTAGTACCAGCAATTTTGTCCTTGCAGGTTAGGTGCATATCCTTCAGAGCGCTAGTTTTGATTCTGTTTCTTCAAAACATCTCACTGTCTTCTTGAGAAAGTCTCAAATAATTTCAGAAATGAGCACTTTTTCAGTTGGATATTTGAAATTATTGATTTGGACCTAACCTAGCCTAACCCGTGAGTTATTATTAGTACCAGCAATTTCATCCTTGTAGGCTACATATCCTACCGGAACGCTAGTTTTGATTCTTTCTCGCTTTCTTCTTGAGAAAGTCTCATATAGTTTCAGAACTAAGCACTCTTTCAGTTGAATATTTAGCAGGTCGTCCTTCTCCAATTTGCCTCTATTGATCTTTTTCTATTATAATAATGATGATAAATGAATGTTTACCCAATGATTGATTTGGACGATGTCGTCATAATATTATAGGTAATTCGAGCTAGGCGTAAGCAGGGGGCGGTCACTTGTTGACAGTTTTATCACCTGAAGCGCCACTTTAAATGCGTCAGACTATAGCTAATTGAGTAGGGTGTGTTGGTTGGAAAATTTATAAAACGGTCCTCGTATAAGGGTGGGAAGTGTCGAGTGTGGAGAGAGTAAATTGAGGAAGAAAATGTTTAACCCTCTTTATGCGTTTCTTAAGTGGCAAACTTTTCTATCGTCGTGCCGTACGGTGACGGCGGCGCGTCGTCGGCGGCGTGACGCTTGAAATTGTAAATAAGAAGGCAAGGGCGAGCGTAGGGCAGATTATCTCCTTGACGTATGTAGTCTTGATTGAAGAAGGAGAAATGGCAGGAATCGACAGAGGCGCTATTGTGATAGTTGTGAGAAATGAGGACCTTTTAGCGGACTCTCCACCACTGGCCTCCCCAATTACCCTCTTATCTCGTTGGCGTTGACGCATATTCCCGGCCCTTTTTTGCAAACGCTGCTTCTACTATGGTTGCTGCTTACGCAATTTTTCTTCGGTTGCTGCTTTTCTTATGCCCCATTTAACAGCAAAAGTTGAATGCGGCTTTGTTTTTACAGATGGGCCCTTATTCGAACCGTTCGATTTTTTCACTTTTAATAATATTTTACTTCTCATTCTTCATCGTACCCAACTTTTATTTTGCTGACGCGAACAACAAATCACCTTTTCTCTCTTTATCATATCGTTATTTTTCTTTTGATAAATCACATACCTACACTTAAGTAGACAGATGCCTAGCTAATCAGACAGAGGTACTAGGCACCTGATTACGATATCTGCCAATAGTTAAAGCGCTTATCTGAATCATCTGTTTATCGTGTAATTGCATAAGCGGTGGAACAGCATACCGTAAATCAGTTCATTTGTCAGCTTCCGTAATAACATCAGTCGGCATGAGTATTGATTAAGTGAGGGGTAAGTTGCTTATACCCTCAAGTAACGGAATCGTTCGTTTGTCTTGCATAATTTATAGAATAATATGTTTACACGCTGTTAATTATTAGGACACGCTGCATTTTGTAATTAAGTAAAAGACGAACGAGCCGAAATTCATGGAAAAGGACACTGAACAAACATAAATCTTTCAAAATGAATAAACTACTCTAAATTGAACACATAGATACAAAAGAGAAAGCTAAACTATTCCAATCTCCACACATTAGGTGAAATTAAAATTGTATCTATTAATTATTTTAACTCAGATATAGATTAAAAACAGTGCACTTTTTCAATAACGTATTTGATAAGGTATCTATCGGGTTGTTCGGAAAGTCATTTCGTTTTTTTTTGTGGAAATGAAATACAGTTTTCGTAGGAGGTTTTTGACCTCTTCATTTCAGGTGAAGGTTTTACCGTCTAAAAAATTTTGGAGTGACCGGAACAAATAATAATCCGATGGTGCCAGGTCTGGAGAATATGGTGGGTGTAGCATTGTATCCCATTCAAGCTGTAAAAGCTTTTGGCGAGTGACCAAACTTGTGTGAGGTCTCGCGTTGTCTTGATGAAACACTACACCTTTCCTGTTGATTAGTTCTGACCTTTTTCTGTTGAAGTGCATCATTCAGTTTGTCCAGTTGATGACAGTAGACTTCCGAATTAATCGTTGTGTTATCCGGTAAAAGCTCAAAAAAAAAAACGATTCCTTTAAAATCCCACCAAACAGGCAGCATCACCTTTTTTTGGTGAATATTGGCTTTGGAAATGGTTTGAGCCGGTTCATCTTTTTTGCTCCATGACCTCTTACGTTTGACGATGTTGTATACAACCCATTTTTCGTCCCCAGTGATAATGCACTTCAAAAACGGATCATTTTCGTGACGTTTGAGAAGCGAAATGCAGACGTCAATGCGGCGACACAGATTTCTCTCTGTGAGAACATGGGGAACCCATACATCGAGCTTCGAGGATAATCCCAGGCCTTTCAAGTGGTCATAAACTGTTGAATTTGATAAATTTAACCTCAATCCGATCTCACGTGTTGTTATTCGTCGGTTCACATCAACTAATGCCTTTATCGCGTCTTTATCAGCTTCAACCGGCCTTCCCGAACGTGGTGCATCTTCGACATCAAAATTGCCGGATCGACATTTAGCGAACCAAGCACTGGCGTACTGTCAACACACCTTCTCCATACACATCATTCAATTTCTTTCTGGCTTGAACAGCATTTTTACCCTTTCTGTAGTAAAACAGTAAGATATGTCGAAAATGCTGCTTATCGCTCTCCATATTTAAAAGGGCACCAACCAAAAACTACTGCGTAGAATTAATTGGAATTTTTCACACACAAGCCTTGCTATATGAGCTCTCAAAGCATATAAAAATTATATGGCTTAAATGTGAAGTTGGGTGCAAAAGAATACAATTAAATCCTCTGTCGGGAAAAAACGAAATGACTTTCCGAACAACCCTATATAAGAAAAATTGGTAGTGGTTTAGGTATACTCGACGAAGAAAAGAGTATTTAGTATAAGAAATAGAAGTGAAAAGTGAAAGAAAAGGTAAAAGATAGATATATCTAAGTATCCCGATATGGACCAATAACTCATTTAGAAAAGAAATGATACCTACAAGGAGTTGGAGGGTAACGTTCTACTTAATACGCGCCATCAGTGTTGCGACGCCCGATAGCGGTGTCAGGGCCATTTAAATTAGGGGGGTGATGGTATGATTATGTGGCATTCGTTGGAAGAAAATAAAACAAGCTTCCTTTAAAAAATATTGCGAGCGTGCAGTGAATGAATATACACATAAAATACAAGTGGGGAGCGAGCGACAGCAGTGAGGATGTTCCACCTTACCGGCGACTAACAACATTAAAAACACGGAGAAGGCTGTTCCATGAAATTATAACGACGATTCTTAGTAAGTGTTTCACAATTCAAACCACATTTCGGCTGGATTAAAGTCGAAGAACATAAATTAAGGAAAAAAAGCAATGAAAAGATCAGGATAAACCATTTACATTCATGATAAGTCGCCAATGGGGGTGGCAAGCAATTACAGCCCCAATCTCGCGGCTGCTAATTACATGCCGCACTCGAAGGCTTCCGCGCCGATACTCGATTTTCGATTTCTGCAACCACGAATATCAAAAAATTGTGTCTTCTCGGTTTAAGAGATTCGTAAATATCGTCCTAAAACCAGGGGAGAGTTTTATTCAACGGAAGTGGGCATTGACACAAACGGAATGTCCTTATTCGACGCTTTCTCAATTTTTCCGAACTCAATTACCATTTTCAATCCAAATTAGTCAATTTGACAAGAGAATACATTGCTTCATTTAAAATATAGGTAGATAGTATCTATTTAAAATAATATTTAGAAAAATTTAAGTTTATTGGCGGATTCCACAGTTCCAATCAGCATTGATGATGTTTTATATAAAATATTTAGGTTTTCATCTGTGAAAAAACAATAGACAGTTGATGGATAATGGCTTGGCATATTTGCTAATAAAAAGCTTTTTTCTTTATGTTTAATGATTTTTTTTATGTTTCTTCTGTATATGTATGTATAATATTGGGTGTTGGTGATTGCAGTAGAAAAATGTAACAAAGTGGGTCGCTTTATAGTT